GCGTACATCCGGGATCTTTCTACGCTCGCCGTTCGTCAGAGCCTCATCCCACATACCCTTTCTAGTATGCGCCGTTTTTTTCCGCCGCTTGGTGGCGGCTTTGTCGACGAGTCTTTTCTTGTTTCCGTACTTTATAAACTGCATTTGTTTCTTTTCTCATCTAAAATACCGAACAAAAACTGCTTTCATACATAATTGAAACGGTTTGCGACACTTATATTTTGTATCTCGACTAAAAAAAAGCTTTTAGCGGCTCTCACCAGCAGTAAGCCCAGGACCAAAGACGACACATATTGCGCGCATTCGGCAACGCGGGTCGCCCTCATAGGTGGAGTAGGTTTCCGCGTCCTACGGTTAAAATATAACTCACTGATATTTAGTTACTCTCTCCGTGCCCGCTGGTTTAACCCGAACCAAAAGAGGCGTGGAAACCGCGAAAAAAGGTAGACGCTTAAATATGATTGCAGGGCCCCTTTAAGGGGTGTCCAAACAAGATACTACAAAAAATCGTCGCGCGACACGACTCGGACAAGTTGTGCGGGGCTCCGCTTCCGGCCGTTTTTCTTCGCCGGGGGGAAACTTCCCCCCTCAAATCTCCCCTTCGCTTCCTCCACGGCGGCCTTGCTCTGCTCATCACGTGGTTGTGAAGAGCCACTCACACGCTTTGTTGGCTGTCGGTCAATCGCTCGAGGCCTAGCTCCGTCGTTGTTCAGGTCCCGAAAACGGAAAAGAGAATGACACGAAGGTTTCATTCACTTTTCCTGCGGCAAGCGAAAAGCAGGCTTCGACGGAAGAATCTCCCAAATCCACCTGAAGCCAGAGCTCTTTGGCCTTCCTGCCGAGGCAACGGCGATAGCGAGGTCAGCCAGACGCAAGTGGCTTGTGACGTCAAATCTGACGAGCCCCGACGTCAAAGCAAAGTGTGGAAGCAAGGATAAACGTCGTGTTGTTGGCTTGCCCACAAAAACCGTCAGATGGCACGACTCCTGCTAATATCGTCAAAATTGAAGCGTCCGCTTCATTTTTGACGATTTTAGCAGGGGTCGTGTCGCCTGCCGTTTTTTGTAATATCCTGTCTGGACAGCCCTTTAGCGGGGTTGTCGCGCGTGCGGAAAGACTGCATCTCCCACGATGCAAGGCAGCAGCGGTGGCGTAGCAAAACTGGCTGTGAGATATGTCTATTGAGATAATTATAAAGCAGTTTTTTTAATATTAAAGGGGTCATGAAACACTTTTTCAACTATTTCCTGTTTAGCTTTCCTCCTCAACTCATAAATCGCGCATTCTACAAAACAGTTCAAGAAGACGAAAAGAGGGGAGTCCCCTCTTGCTCGGAAGAGTCATTCTCCCCCTAGAAGATTAGCCCGTCGCTCAAAATTCAGACAAAAGTTGCTTTCCCTACCCCGTTCACCCCGAAGCTGACAGTGCTGTGGAAGCTATGTGCTCGCTGGGCCAGCCACACTTTTTCCACGTGATCACGCTCTCTCGCGCATACCCACGCGCAGAGAATGAGGTCAGGTGATGAAAGGGAGGCGGCTGATTGGTCCGGCAAGCGCGTAGCTTCCATCACAATAAAGAGTTGTAGGAGATCGTTTTTCTCCCCCGCTACGGTATCCCCGAAGAAAACGCCGCAGCAGCGCATGCGCGCCCCCAGCCTTGTCTGCATAGTTCAAGGTCGTGTGGCGGATTACAGAGCGCTATCCGGGTGCTTAGCGGGCTGCGGAAACGCTCTACTACAATTCCCTAATGTCAGCTTAGGGGTAAAGGGAGTAAGGGCGGTCCGGTAGCGTGTGACGTTTGTTTGGACCCGGTGACGCGCTTTGGGAACCGCGGATATACACCAACTCATGTTTACAAACAAACCAGAGCGCCCCTAGCGGACGCCACCGGCGCCGCGCATGCGCGAGGGGGATGTGGGCAAGAAGCTCGCCGTCGCCCATAAACAAACCATTGGAATGCGATGTTGTCGGCGTCGGTGTGAGTCCCCCTACCCTTTTTCGCGTTTGAATTGTTGATTCTACGTCTTCCTGGCGATGTCTGACTACTTGAGCGGCGTCAGCGAAATTACCGAGGCTTTTTACACCGCAAAACTTCGCGTGAATAATGTGACATGTGGCGATTCATTCCGCGTGGACGCCGCAGTATGTACGCTCAAGCCTGATTCGCATGATGCGATTTCGCTCGAAATGTTCAGTCGAGATGCCGCTCGGGCTGCAAAAGTGTGAACGGTAGCTGAGATAGTCGACGTGAATACTGAAAATCGCAAGCAGAATCGGACCAAGTGAATTAATGATAACAAGTCGGTGATGGTCACTGGTAACAATGATCAACATCTTTTTGTATCTACTGTTTACATTGAGCCTGCATACCAACCTTCAAATTGAAGTCTTTTGAGGCCTGCACTTACTTCTTATCGCAAGCACCGGGCCAACATTTGATCTACGGGCCGGCGTCGTCTAAGAGAGCAGACGACAATCAGAAACGTTTGAAAGAGCAGACGACAGTTTGAACTATCAGGCGGCCGTTTGAACTTGAAGACGCACCGAACGTAGTCCACAGGTGGTTCGCACAACTTGGCGGTTTTCTGGCGTTCATTTTAGAGCAAAACAAATAAATCTGATGACCACAAGTATCCATGAATTCAACCCAAAGTGCTTCCCACCCAAGCAATCGTTGTCCGACGGCGCCTGTTTTTCCCTTTTCACGGCACATATCCAGATTCTCGGACGACCCAAGCACGTGAAAACTGACCTTCAAACCTTTCTCGACACTTTGGTACGGCCCCAGTCGCGGCGTTTTGACGAGAAGGCAGGTTTTTGTCTGGTTCCTTTCAAAACAACGCAGGAATACACGTCTGGCATGGGGACTTCTGCCCACAGCCCCAGACCGGAAGTGCGACCGACGCGCCACCACCGCGCCGTGACGTCACAAAGTTGAGTTCGTGTATATCACAGTGAAAAGGCAGAGAGCTTACGAAGGGGAGGAGGTACGAAATAGTACGCTGTGTTTTCAGATTTTCGCACTTAAAGTCAGGCTTTTGACTTTCTACCTTTTTTTCTTTTGGCCCACTGAAAGATGTGCTACTAGTAAAATCCCAATCTAAAGTGATTTATACCAGCCCAAAATTCGTTTCATGGGCCCTTTAACTGAAACTAACCAAACGATTCATCACAATGTCAACGAAACTGAATTAAAATATATTGGATCAATAGAAACTTTAAGTTATCACAAGAGTAACATGAATGTTAATTTGGCTCATAATAGATTAATTGATGGCATCAATCAATCTGCGTTTTATGTTTCCCCAAACAGCTGATGAGGCCTTAGAAGGATTACACACAATCGCACTAAAAATATTTTCATACTAAAAAAGGGGCCTCAGTATTACACGTTTTTAAAACGTCCGCATCAGGCCTAAAACACTTGTCATACATGGGCCGCCTCTGAGTAAATGCAGGAATAGATTCTAAATTAGAAAGGAAAATACAAACCGTGGACCAATTTTGTCGCTGGGGACGATGAAGTGAGATTTTACTCAATAAGAGGGGAAACAATAGCAGCGTTGAGCAGTTTATATGAAAAAAAAAGATGCCGAGAACTAGTCGTCTATCCAAAAGAGACGGAAATCCAAGTCTATCAAATAGACGCACGTAATAAAAAAAAAAGCATTCTGTGCAATGTGGCATCATAATTAATTCTTACGAATCATCGCTGTACGCACTCTACCCTTTGCATTTGACTGACTACCAGGGAATTCCACATAATAGAAGAAACGGTCAATCTTGTTACAACTAACGACCGAAACAGTATCCAAGTGTAACTACGATAATTACGGGTAAGGCGCATTATTGCGCCTAGGATGCGTAAAGAATCACTGAAAATTTTTGAAAGCGTGATAATTAATGTTGAGGCGCGAGTGAATCAAAACACCAAGGTCACGTGCGCCTGAAGATCTTGAAACTTTGAGTCGTGTAATTTATAAGCATGAATAATAACATTTGCCTTTCGATAGAAAACCTTAGTTTTGGGTGGGGTTTGAAAGGAGTAAGTTTGTACAACACCCCAGGTGAATTGCATCAACATCGTTTTGTAAAAGATCACGATCAGCAGGCGTGCGAATACTACGATACATTTTCACGTCGTCAGCGAACTGTAGCATCTCTGAGTTACCAATTATATTGCAAAACATAGGTCTAAGGTTCGACCCTTGTGTTGCTCCGGTATTTATCACATAAGGATATGATTTGCATCCTAAGTAGGGCACCATATTTGAGCGATCACTAAGGTATCTGCCAAACCAGTTGAAAGGAACCGGATTTTCGAACTCCAAAAAGTTTAAAAGGTTCATCTCGACAGTACGCTCCAGACAAAAACCGTGCTGGTTTTGACTGATGATTGGTTTAAAGTGAAAACTCAGATGCTTAAATATAATTTTCTCCAAAACCTTGAAAGAAGCAGAAAGCAGTGCAATTGGTCTGTAATTATCGACGCACAAAGATCTTCCAGATTTGTCATTGTCATTGAAAACTTTGCCATTTTGCGAATGACAAGTTTGTCAACTTGTCATTTGCAAGTGATGATAAGTGCTGTCAAAGGACTCATTGAACGAAAGCAAATTCAAATATTCGTCGATGGATTGATTGTTGACGAACGCGGTAGTCGTGTACAATGCGTGAGCTGGATTCAACTGACGTGCTTGGGCAGCGTGGATACTTCACAATGAAAAAGGGGAGAGTTTTGGAAGGAAAGAAGGCAAGAAATAAGCCGCTATATTTTCTAATGTTCCTACCGAAAAAGTAGGATTTTGGCTGTACACTCTTGTTCACTATTTTATTTTTTTGCTCTAATCGACGTGCGATTACTAAAATCACAATTTATCCCAGCCCAAAGCTCATTTCCTGGTCCCTTTAACTTTGCGGAAAATACATCAGGTAAAGGGCTATCAAATGTGCTTTGTTAGTCAGTTCGAGGAAATAGAATAAAATGAACATGAATCTCACGTCTGCAATTTGTACTCGATCGCCCTTCTGCTGCAGTTCGACAATGTATGCACTTCTGGAGAGCTTCTATTATTGGCCATCAGGAAAGTACTGCTTTGGCATCCACTTATACTGTCAGCGTTGGCACCCAATCTAAAAGAAAGAAGGCGTTTTTTTTTTTTTTTTGACAGCACGAACTGAGCATTTTATGTGTGGTTAAAATACGTTAAATGTCGAAAATGGAACAAGGTCATGCGTAGGCAGAGGTTACGATTCTTTCACATAAAGCAGTACGAATTAATTCGCAATGCCGCTCCACTCCTCTGTAATAAGCGGTGCTCACGAAGGAATTGTGATTCGAGGAATAGCAAAAGTAAGACGTGAGGTGCGTGAAGTAACCGGGTATCGGTTGACTCCGCTTATTATCACAGCGCTGATGACAGACTGAGTGACTGCTTCCGAAACGCAAGTTTCTCCACCTGCGGGGGAAGCTTGCTTCCGAAATAAATACAGTTCGCGGAAAGCTTGTGTAACGATTTTATTTGCTGCTCCCCTCTCCCCGTACATTGGACTCAGTGTCCTCATTAAGCCTTGTTGAGCTTCATTTGCTTGATTCGAGGCCGCCATAATGAGATACACACGACGGAGGAACTTTGCTCCCCTGCTTCCAGGGACGAAAGTTTCTCTTTTTCTGAAGGAACAGATGTGTGAAGGGGGTCCCTCTCTTTAGGGGGGACTATAAGCACCCTTTTTTTTCTAAGAGTGTATATCTCGTCTCCATAGCAACTAAATTACTAGCTTATAAAACAATAATTCGTCGTAAACTAGAATATGCCAGCATTATAATGCATCAACATTAAATGTACTTTACTCCTAATTGGAGCCCGTCCAAACAAGGCCTGCCCGGTTTATATTGAACAATTTCTGAGCTTAAAGTAGCATCTCCACTTCAAAATAGAATATTGGTCTTCCTTATTATCTAACAGGCGCAAAATTAACCAAATATGTTTCACTTATGCGTCGTACTAGAACTCGTACTTCAGAAACACATATTGCCATTTTGACAATTACATTTCCCCCCCATCCGATAAATCATGTAAAGCTCAGCATTTTCGCTCTCACACTAATTATATTTCTAATTTCTCCCCTCGTACTGTCAACTACTGAATAGAAAAACGTTCAAGACAAAGTGGTTACTAACAGAAATCATGAGTCATTTAAAGAAGTGAGTGAGCGTCTGTGTCCCGAATGGAACGAGCACAATTTCGTATGCTTTATTTTTCTTGTTACTTTCTTCATGTCTAAGATGAAAATGTGCCTTGTGTAACTTGTTAACCTGATTTTGCATCTTGTTTTTTGTTAAGTGCATATGGTGTGATCATGTTGTAATGAATGGATTTTACCGCCCACCCCCTCATGTAATGCGTCCTTAAAGGGATACTGAAGCGAAACTTGAAATACACCTATTATGGTCAGAAATAGGTTCAATATGATCAATGATATTCATAAATCATAATCGCGCGTTTGTATTTTGAACAGATGGCTATATTTTTCACCCTGATGGGCCCGATTGGGCGCGCGCTCAAAAATTGGCCATCGGAGAGCGCGATGCGTCTTGGGATATTGGGCGCATTCGTGACGTCACTTGTGCCGGTCGGGAAAGGCTACGGCGTGAATGTTGTGGTTACGAGCGTTGCCACTTGGTGGCGCGTCGACGATTTACGACCTGTGACAACGTGGCCGTTTGAGATGTGCAAGGGCTGCACGCACGCTGCACCACGGGACTACGGCAAGTCGGCAACCACGGCAGCACTGACAAAACCAGCTCTGAGGCCGGATTCTCAAAGCGAATTCACGACGAAAAAAGTGCGTACGACAAATTTGAGAGAAAACCCGTGCTCTCGAAACGAAATTGTCGTAACCTTTGCGCAGGTTACGACACAATCCCTCCGAAGCTGTCTTACGCACTTTTTACGATAAAATCAACAAGGCCGACAGCGTCGCCCAGTTACTTGGTATCGGCCACCAACGGACATTTATTTTTCTTCGTGCTCTTCTCGTGCGTCCCGACTTCAACCAGCAAGAAAAAAGGAAGGAGTACTTAAAACAGACCACGACGATCAAGAACGCAGGATCCACAAACACACGAGAAGAGCTACAAAAGCCACGATTCTGCCGACCGAGCGAGCTCGGCAGAATATAGTAGGCCTAGCAGCAACATCGACTCGGCGCACCGTTGCTCCGGCGGTCCTTGGCCAAGACCGTCTGTCCATGACCGGCTGGCCTGCTGAATGGAATATGCCCGCGCGACCCTTGTGGAGCCTTACCGGATGAGTAGTTTGATCCCTGAACTAAATTTCAGAGGTCAATATTTTCCACTTGTCATCTCGATCTCCTTGTTTTCCGAGACAGCGGTGACGAACCCGTCGTCGAAAAGGGACTCTCATTGATTCTATCTCCTTGTTTTGTGTGATATAGAGCTCAAATAAACGCCATACGGATTACCTTGGCAACTCGGTATGTACACTCTGTTATTAGTATGCCATTTTTATTCTGACTCGACGCTACGTCAGTGTCGAGCTATAGCAGTTCGTGGGAGCTACGCGATGTCGGTCAAACCTTTCTTTGCCGAGTGTCATGTCAGTATCGAGTTGCAATCGTAAAAGATCGGTCCAGAAGCGCTTACCGAAACGCGGTCTAACAGAGCGAATCCAGCACTTCGATCAAACGCGCGTGTCCGCTCCGAGTGTGAACAGGTATTTGGCATTTGCGTGGCTCTTGCTGACACCCTCGTAGTTCAAACATATCCTTTTTAACGTCGGCTTGCAGCTCGCGACTCGCAGCAACTAATACCGGCCGTGCCAGAAGCATGCTCGGGCCGTGTCGTGCAAAGAGCCGCAACGAGAACGAGTTCACTGTGGCCAACTACGCTTTGGCTTTCTCCGCCAAGGCTTTGCAAACGCGTTCAGGCCTAGGCGAATTCTGCCGGCACGCCGTATTGCCGCAGAACGGCGCTGCTATTTTGGCACAAGTGATGTCACGAGAACTTCCCCCCATCCACCAGATGAGAATTTGAAATCGTTTAATTATGTTTAAAATTAGTTCTCCTGTGTTTTACAGCGCAATATTTATATTTCCAAGGTGGTGCCTGTCCCTAGCCCATATTTATGCAACAAGATCGGCGCTAAAATTTCGTTTCACTACCCCTTTAAAGGATGCCTTTGAGGTAAATGAGAAAAAAAAACTCTGCTGTCACTTTCATCACCAAACCCCCTGGGCACTGCGTTCAGGCTTAAGTACCCTGAATGAGTGAGCGTACTTCTCGTTGTGGTTATGCTCTTACTGACCTGTTGTCGTCACGACATTCTATCGAAGCTTCACAGATATCCACCAGGTAGCTCTTGGTTATCGTTTTATTTAGTGTAATATGCTTTTTTTTCTATGAAATGTTGGTATTGGTGAATTCCTACTTTCAGCCCCTTCATGTCGATGCAAAAAGATGAGCTCCGAAGTTTGGTTTCTCTACCCCTTTATTGGGCATTTACCGCTGGATTTTAAGTCCAACTGACGACACCGCTGCACTGCGAACTCACGCCACCAATCTCAAAAATAGGTGCGGCTCGCCTATTATTACTCCGAACCGCATTTCCGTGAACCAGTAGCCGCTACATTTGATTATTGTTTCGTTCCGGCCCGGATTTAATCTTAAGTTCTCGAATTCGGTTATGGATTTATTCCGGTTTGGTACAAAAAACAACGGTTTTTATTTTGTTTTTGTTTGAGATTTATTTGACTCCCCAAGTACACCATTCATAGGCTTACACTATAAGGAATGGTTGACACACAATGAAATACAAAATGATAAAACTTTTTTTCAGGAATGTTTCCGACGAGCAGAAACACTCGGAGTAACGACAGGAAGCGTTTCGACAGCGATACTTACAGGCGAGCAAATTGACGCGCCGCCATTGTCACGCCACTGAATGTTCTTGCGTCGTCATGACCGAATCCATATCCTCTGAATTTGCAAAATCCATCAAAGAAGGATGTTTGGAATTCTGCAAATTAAAAAAAGGCTGGCTTGTGGCATGTTGTCTTACTGTTTTAAACAACAGATCATAAAAAAGCGATATTGTCAAATATGAAACTACAAATAGCAGAAAAGCTGGGAACATTACGTCTCCCTAGAAATTCACTAATGTTTCCTTTTTGTTTTGCGGCAATCACCAAACAATGTTTTTAAGCTTTTTCTCGTATCATATATAGTGAGTGCCTGGAAACACAAGGATCTAATAGTTGGAAACATACAGAATACCCAACATCTGATCAAAATATTTCAATAATGTAAATTTTAATTCTAAATGAGTTCAAGTAAACGCTTAACTTATTACATAAAACATTTTGTTTTGGCTGGAAAGTCACGTCAAAAAGGTGGAATATTTGACAAGACGACCCCGGGAAAAAATAGGAGGAATGACACAACACCTTAGAGGGATACTGAACCAAACAATTTAGTGTCCATAATAAGTGGCGCACGATCCTTCCACGAGCCAGCAGCCGCCGATGTGCCCGAGCACACACAACGAAATCGACGTCCCAGTCTGCCGGCCAAAGGAGAGGACAGGCTTTTCACCTCCACAAGTGAATGCTATGTGCTTGTTAGGTCAATTAATCGCTTACCTTTTACGTCAGATCCACTGTGGAGATGAAAAGCTTGTTTTATTCTCTTTTTCCCTGGAGTCCAGACATTTATTTATTTATTTATTTATTTATTTATTTCAAACACCCTCAAGGCCACCGGCACTATAGAGGTGGGTGGGGGTTAGTGGCAGTAGTACACCTTGCAGCTCAATCTGAGCAGTATAGATTATTTATGGCAGTTCTAAATAAGTGGTAAGGAACAATTGTTGCGATAGATGCGGGAAGGTGGTTCCAATCCACTGATGTTTTTGGAATGAATGACTCTTGAAGTGCATTAGTGTTACATTTTAGAATGTCTACTTTATACATATGATCGATGCATGGCGAAATATAGGACGGATGATTCAGCAGTTGGCTGTGAAGTAATGAGTTAATATGAAAGAGGACATAAGCGAGCTATTTTGCGACGTAAATTGAGGTTAAGCAACAATAGGCTAGCTTTCATTAAGCTCACGCTCGCGGTGCGACGAAAGTTATTAAGAATAAAACGAGCAGAGCGATTCTGAACTGATTCCAGGGGGTTAGTTAGTTTGGAATAACCGGGGTCCCAGATAGAAGAAGCATATTGTAATTTAGAGCGTACGACCGTTTTGTACAGGGTTAGTTTCAAGGACGAAGGGGCAAGTGAAAAGTTTCGTTTTAGATAACCCAGCATTCGATTAGCGTTATTAATAACATACACAACATGCATTTGCCAGGAAACATCTCAGGTTATATACACACCTGTGATCTTAACCGTGAACGGGGGACTACGACGTCAATTTCGTTGCGTGTGCTCGCGCACATCGGCGGCTGCTTGCTCGTGGAAGGATCGTGCGCCCAATGTTTGGTTCAGCATTCCTTTACGTCAACGTCAAACGTCAAGACGTAGAAGGGATAGAAAATAGACCGGACGACGTCTCAAATACAGATAACTAATTTATTTAGTCCGCCTCCTTAAGACCTTTTCATTTCAGTAGTTGCCTGACCGGCGGGTAGAAGGCGCCGGCGCACTCGCCGCCATTAGGTTGCTTCAATTTGGTCGGTTTCGGTTTTAACGTGCACGCAATTGTGATGCTGTTTCGTGCCACTTTCGATTAATTTTACAATATGAATTTCTTTCTAGTAGCACACAGCAAATGAAACAATAGTATTGAACCACTTGGCGAAGCACGAAGTGGTTTCGAGCCTAAATTGCGATATTTTTTATATAACACTATATATAACATAGATGACACTTTATATTACACTATATGCGTCTGATTCCGTCCATCGTTAATTTCGGCCAAGTTCGGCGGTGAAACAACTGCGCTTATGCACCGGGGGGAGTACCATTGTCAACGGCCGTACCCGTGGACCCTAATTTCAAGAAGAAAAAAAAAGAGCAGGACAAGCTCCGCTTGCAGCGTGCGCTGGTTGCCTGCCGCCGTGCTTTGGCTGTGCGTGCACCGAGCGGTATGGAAGGTAGATAGCTCGCGCTCAAGTCAGATATTGAACCGATTATCTTATATTGCAACAGACTATATTGCATGAGTGCTTAGTGAAAAAGCAGGTCGACAACATGATTAACAATCCGCTGAATCACCAAGAACAGATGAACTGACAAGTTTACTGTTCGATGTTTGGTTTCCGTATACCAATCTTTTCTAACTTCAAGACTGGAAACATCTTTTATAATGACTAGAAAAGTTTCATATAATCGATTATTTTACAATATAAATTTCTTTCTAATAGCACACAGCGAATAAAACAATAGTATTGAGCCACTTAACGAAGCACGAAGTGGTTTCGAGCCTAAATTGCGATCTTTTTTATACACCGCGTCCTGTCTGGTTCTATCTTCGTTTTTGTCCCTGTTGTTTTGGCGTATTACACCATGCTTCATATAATCACGTAGATAATATAAAAGTGATATTCTCTCAGTCTGTTTTATTTAAAGTAATTAAGCGCTCGAGAAATATTTTGATAGACCAGCCTAGGCTGACTAGAAAATTTATTTAGTTAAAGTACTCATTTACAGCATTTCAAAATATTGGCCTTATGAAATAAACTTTTTTATTATATGGACATTTGCTCACGACGTTCTCAAGGTATGAGAATGGTAAGATAAGTGAATGCCAGACTTCAAATAAAGACTGTTATTCATCTTCCGTAATATTTGCCGAATGAAATTCAAGAACGCAAAAGAAATCATCTCCGATAGGTTTACTGAAGTCGAACGCCAGGCGCCACCCAATGGACCTGTGTAGAAAACTGTTCACTGATTTGAGACGATGCGCTTTACTCATTTTGACGTCGCCAGCTACTAAAAGTAAATCCCTATTCGCCGTCGACAACCGGCTGCACTCGGGTGATTTTCATGCAGAAGGATTTTTTTCGGCGTCACATTTTGTGAATCATAGTCACTATCAAGCTGTCTGTGGCAGTTTTTGGCGCGTGGAGCTCAAATATTTGTGTTAAAATAAATTAATTGAAACTGCATGGTTATATTAAAAAATGACTTAAGCAATTGAAAGACTATGGACATGGGATCAAGCACGATATACAATTCCGTGGAATCCATAAATAAACCGATAAAGCGAATGCTTAAATCACAGACGCAATTAAGAACGTAAAACAGATATAGGTGTGATCAGGGATGGGCGAATCACATGCAAAGATGTATCAAAATACAAATACAAAATACTTCGTCAAAAATGTATTTAATTACAAATCTAATTACATTTCCGAAAAAGCCTTTAAGTACAAGATACAAATACAACCAAATGTATTTGGTCTCCTCCAAATACTTTTCCAAATACATTCCTCAAAATTTGCGTCAGCGACTTCAGGGCACCTGCAACGGGTTTCTGGGTATCTCATTTCAATTTTGCATCGCACACTCGGGAGTTAGTGTGCGAGGCTCTAGTAACGTAATAGAAATATAATCACAAAGAAATGTAATCAGCTTGGACGTAATAGGTGAAAAAAGTACAGAGCTTCAAGCAGCTTTTTTTGTCGATTACATTTTGGTATAGACCGAGACGACCAAGACACGCAGCACTAGCTACACTCTTAAAAAAAAAGGTGCGCAAAGGCACCAATCGCCATCTTTCATCCCCGCGACCCTAGCGCCCTCTATTCAGAAGCGGTAACTCGAGCAGTTCGTCCCGCGGGCATTTCGTTGCTCCCGCTGGAGTTGATCCCCTAACGAATACTTAGTCCCCTCGCCAATAATGGCTGCCGCAAGCCTTCGATGAAGTGGACGAAGCATCACTCGAGTAGCTATTTTGGAAAGAAGCCTTGGCAAAACAAGATTTTGGCCCCGGGATTTAGAAATTGTGACTACACGCGCATATTCGGTGAATGTTTCCGGCCGCGAAAAACATGAGAACGGAATCCGAGCGACGCGGAGGCGCCGGAGACGAGGCTACCTACTCTCCGACTGCCGCGCGCGCGCCCGAGTTTGAACTGGAGGTGACGGTTGACCCAGTTGACCTGTGGCGGTGCAGTGGAAGCGTCGTCGGATGCAGTCGGAGTGGCAACCGATTGGACGGTGAGTTTTGATGGCTTTGGATACTTGTAGAGCAGCAGAAATGTTATAGTCATTTCAGAACGTACTTCATAAAGTCGCAGGGTTACTCTGTACGATAGGTGCTCGCTCTCTGACGCGGTCGGGCTCGTACTCGTCCATGTTAGCGTGCAAACGAGGCCTAGCACTTCAAAACTAGACCCGGCGGCAATCAGTTCATCCAACAAACGATGTAACACCGGCAGATGGTTTCGTCGACGCAGCAGCGTTTTAATGCCACTTAGGTTCATCGAAAAGTACCCGTGTTCGTTTCATCGACCAACCTTGCGACGCTTCATCGGAAGCGTCTCTCCGCACATATCGCCTCGGTCGGCGACCAAGGCGATGCGAGCTTGACGAAACCGTTGCGGGTCGCATGAGGCCTGGTGCGAGTTCGCGCCTCGAGAGTAAAGTTTCGCGCTTACGCTCTTAGGCGAAATGTATGGTCGTATCCGATATGCGTAAATAAACATGTTCTCGATCAATATTAAAGTGTCTCCGAGCGGAGCGAAGGGTTTCAGCGCGTAGTGCGGACGGTTTGAAAGCGGCGATCGCCAATTCATTTGTGGCGTATCAGAGTCGCCTGGGCAAGTCCGCTTTAGTTGAGGTAGGTTTGCGGCGAACGAAATTAAACCAATAATGCAATCCCCGTGGTGAACGAAACAAAACAAAGTCGACGAAACGTTGTAGGAGCACGTATCGACGAAATTGAGCGGTGCCGCGAAGTCGTGCACGCGCGCGTTTAGTGAAGCATTATTTTATGTTTTTACTTTCTCTGCGGGTTTCCGAGCGTCTTTCGGCCCTCTATGTTTCGGCCGATGCTGGTCG